GGGGACAGGACCTCAGTAGGCTGGGACTCCTGGTTCTAGATGACATCGGTGTACCTGCTACTCCTGCCATTGCCATCTGGTTTTCTGCAGGTGGACCTGGCAGTGGTGGAGGTGGGCATCGGCGGGGCTTACGACTGCACCAACATCATCAGGTGAAGGCAGCGCCTATGGACTGGAGTGGGTCTAGGAACCAGGCCTTCTGCTGCCCAGTGGTTCAGGGTGGGGCGTCCTGACCTTTTTGTCTTCTGCAGGAAACCTGTGGTGTGTGGAGTGTCCTCTCTCGGCATCGACCACACCAGCCTTCTGGGGGACACAGTGGAGAAGATTGCATGGCAGAAAGGGGGCATATTTAAGGTGATCAGGCAGGCTGGGGGCAGGGAAGTACATGGGGGCCTGGCCCTGGCCCCAGGTTTAGAGGAGTAGGGCTGGGACAGGCCTTTGTGTCCTGACTCAGGACAAGGTCCTGGCCATGAGCAGGGTCTGGGTTCTTGTCCTGCCTTCACAGTGTGGAGCAGGTTGTGCCCTTCTCTGGCCTCAGTCTCCCCATTGAAACACAAGGGACGAGAGGCTGAGTGGCGGTTCAGACCCAGATCTGTGGGGGCCAGAGAGGGAAGGGTGGAGGACCCCGGCCACCCATCTCACTCTTCCTGGCCCATGCAGCATGGCGTCCCTGCCTTCACCGTGCTCCAGCCAGAGGGTCCCCTGGCTGTGCTGAGGGATCGAGCCCAGCAGATCTCAGTGAGTGGGACTGGATGGGGCGGTGGTGGGCGGGGAGGGTCTGGGCTGCCTGGAGAGGCGCTTTCTCCTGGGGACCTCAGCGTGCTTGTCCCTGCAGTGTGGGAGCTGCCCAGCCCTGCAGCTGCTGTCCCCTGGAACATCTCTGGGTTCTGGAGCAGGGCCCCGTGGGCTCTGATAGATGGGCATGGGAGGGCTTTCTGCTCAAGGTGGCGGTGGCAACTCTGCTGACTGCCTGCCACCCATCTCCCTGCAGTGTCCTCTCTACCTGTGCCCTCCACTGGAAGCCCTGGAGGAAGGGGGGCAGCCACTGACCCTGGGCCTGGAGGGAGAGCACCAGCGGTCCAACGCGGCCTTGGCTTTGCAGCTGGCGCACTGCTGGCTGCAGTGGCGGGACCACCAGGGTGAGTGGCCTGGCGAGTGGGCAGGTGGGGGGCAGTCACGGGAGCCTGCCTCTGAGGGTCCTGAGCATGGTGGGCCTCACACACTCCATAGGCGTCGGGAAGCTGAAGGTGTCCAGGCCAAGTGTGCCATGGCCGCTGCCCCTGGCACCCGTGTTCCAGCCCACATCCCACATGCGGCACGGTGAGTCGGACCTTCCTGCCCAGCCAGGACCACCACACATCTTTGTGCCCCTTCAGATGTCTCTTTTGGCTTCCTGTTTGTCACTTTGAGAGGGTGCCTAAGGGTCTGTATCTCCCTGACCTTGAGTTCACGAATCTGTCTGAGCCCCAGTTTCCCATCTGCCAAATGACGATGACAGGACCCACGGCCAGGTCTGTTGTGAGGATTTGCTGAGGTGACATCAGTAAGGTGCTGAGCCCAGGGCCTGGAAGATGTGGGAGAAGTGCCCAGCCAGTGGTAGCTACTGTCCCTGTCATTGTCATCATCAGGCCATCTGCTTCTTGTCCTCCCAGAAGCCCTCAATGCATAGTAGGTGCTCATGCTGTCACACCCCTCAACAGATGGTTTCAACATACCCACTGTGCCTGGCTGGCTGTCAGGGGTTAGTGACAGTGCTGGAACAGATCTCGGACAATAGCCTAGCCCCGCCCTGGCACTGAGAGCTCAGGGCTCTCCAGCTGTCAGGTGGAGCTAGTGTATGATGGCAGCCCCTTCTCAGGGTGGCCTGGAAGGTTCCACCAGGTGAGGCAGGCTAAGCCTCAAACCCAACAACTAGCACCCGTAAGAAGCTCTTGGGTTGATGCCCCTTAGCAGTGGCAGCCTGTGGGGACAGTGTGCTTGGAGTTTGGGCAGAGCTGAGGACTAGGGTGGGAGAGGATCCCGAGCACTGCCTGCCTCTACCAGGGCTTCGGGACACTGAGTGGCCAGGCCGGACGCAAGTGCTGCGGCGGGGGCCCCTCACCTGGTACCTGGACGGGGCGCACACCACCAGCAGTGTGCAGGCCTGTGTGCGTTGGTTTCGCCAGTCCCTGCAGCGAAGTGAGAGGCCCAGCTGGTGAGGATGGCAGGGGCGGGGCCTTGGGCAGGGCTGGGACAGGACCACAAAGAAGGGACTGGAGGTGCTGTTCTGACCTTGGTCTGGTTCCTTTCCCCTGGTGCAGTGGGCCTGAGGTGCGGGTCTTGCTCTTCAACTCCACTGGCGACAGGGACTCCGCAGCCCTACTGAAGCTACTGCAGGTGAGGGGCCAGGTGGGGGGTGGCCAGCAGCCCAGCAGCCCTGGTTCTCGCTGTGGGAACCTGGATCTCCTCAGCTCCTGAATTGTACTGAGGGTCAAGTGCAAACACAGGCACTCTGGGGAGTCGGACTTGGCCAGGGTTCGGGGAGGGCCACGTGGTGGTTAAAGGTGCAGGCTCTGCACTCACATGCCATGCCCTGTTAGTCACTGGCATGTGACGCTGGACAAGAAGTGGCATTTTCCTGAGCCTCAACATGCCTCTCCATGAAATTGGATTGCCACTAAGATACCGCCTGTGTTTGGGGACCCCAGCCTATCAGGGCTGAAGTGGCTCTTAGGGATCATCTCCCATTTCACAGACCCAGGAGCTGGGGCTGTTCATGTCCAGAACCTTGTCTATTTGTGCAAGCTCTTTCCTCTGGATTTGGGGCCTGCTCCCTAGTTGGGCGACCTTAAGCAAGTTTCTGCCCAATCCTCCCTCCCCCATCTGCACAGTAGGTGGTACCCTTGTCACCAACCCAGAGGCCAGACAGGTACCTGGAAGCAGAGGGGAGTGGGCTGGTGCCATGGCTGGGCTTCTGCACTGTCAGTCTAGTTCAGGGAGGGGCAGTGCCTTGAGAGAGCTTGGGTGGCATGTGGAGGTCAGGGTGGGTGATGTCCCCTCAGGAGTGTGACACCATGTCTTTCCCTTGGTCTTCAAGCCCTGCCAGTTTGACTATGCTGTCTTCTGCCCCAACCTGACAGAGGTGGCATCCACAGACAATGCAGGTGAGAGGGGAAAGATGTGGTCCCTGAGGGTGGGCTGGGGATAGAGGCATTATGTTTTTAAATAGTTTGAAATACTGTTGTAAAAAATGCAGATCCCAGGCCCTGCGTCAACCTGGGGAGAATTCTGGAATCTGTATTTTTTAACCAGGCCTCCCGGACATCCATTGCCCAGGAGGGTGGTGAGGCCTGGGGAGAGCCTGAGCTTAGTGGGCGGGATCCTCTGGCTGGCTCCCAGGCCTCAGGCAAGTTGTTGAAATGGCCCGAGGCTCCGCCTCCTCACGTGTCTGCTGTGGGGGCCGCCAGCAGAGTCTGTTGAKGTGAGGTGTACTGAGCCTGATGCTAAACTGAGGTGCACACCGCATACCTGCCCCTTTCTTCTGTCTCATTCCCCACTCCCCGTCCCTGTCCCCTTCACTGACATGCCTGGCTCTGTACCCCACAGACCAGCAGAACTTCATGGTGACGTTGGACCAGGTGCTGCTCCGCTGCCTCCAACACCAGCAGCACTGGAGCTGCCTGGACGAGGAGCAGGCCCGCCGGGACCTCTGGCGGCCCTCCAGCCTGGAGCCTGGCGGCCCGGCACCCCTGCGGCTGGCCCCACGTGGCCCGCGGCCCTGCAGCTCCAGCTCCCTGGTCTTCAGCTGCATCTCCCACGCCTTGCAGTGGATCAGCCAAGGCCGGGACCCCATCTTCCAGCCACCCAGCCTCCCCAGGGGCCTCCTTGCCCACCCCACGGCAAGCAACGGGGCCAGTGTGCTCCGCGAGGCTACTGCGATCCACGTGCTGGTCACGGGCAGCCTGCACCTTGTGGGCGGTGTCCTGAAGCTGCTGGAGCCCTCCTTGACCCAGTAGCCAAGGTGGTGGGGTTGGGGGTGGGAGCCTCCCACACCTGCCCCGGCTTAGCACCACGAACTTACACCAGGTGCCTTTTGATTTCTGCTTTCCTGATTCGGAGACTACCCCAGGCTGTGGGTGTTGGAGTGGGAATGTCCTGTCCCTGGGGTCCTGTACCTTGCTTGCAGCCAGGACAGCAGGGCTTCCAGGGCCCCAACGGTTGTAGGAGGCCCGCAGCTCAGCCCATTTCCCTGCCACCCCACCTGCCTCCTGGCTCGGACTCAGCTCATGGAGTGAGTTGCCTGGCCATGCTTAGGGTTCTGCTTGGGGCTGGGCACTATCTTTCCTTCTCCCAGGGCCTCTGRAGAAGGAGAGAACCCCTGCCTTGAGCACCCTGGGAAAGAGCATGGCTGGAGTAAATTAAACCCTGTCAATTTTTTTCAATGGAAAAACCTTGTTCCTTCATCAGATGACAGGGGGCTGGGGCTGTAGCTGCTGTAGCAACCAGATTGTGTAGAGGGAGCCCTGGGTCAGTGGCCTAAGTTCTCTGCGTCTGAGCCTCAGGTGGCCTGTCTGTGAGAAGCCTGGACCGACATTCGTGGGCCACATGCCAGGTACTGGTTTGTAGCCCTTGCGAAGACCATGTGAACTAGGAGGCGTACTCGGTTTGTTGATGAGGGACTGGCTGGCTCCAAGAAGCTATGGGAGCTGCCCACAGTCACACAGCCAGTAAGCAGCAGGTCCAGGGTTAGAGCCCAGAGTTGTCGGGGGCTTGTGTCCTGAACCCAGAGCAAGTGGCATGGCACCTCCTGGTGTTTGTTCTCTCGAAGCCTCGATCCCAAGGCTGTGCCACCAAGTGAGTGGCAAAGGGGACTTTCAATCAAACCTGCTGTGCCCTGGCCACCTGCTACTGCTCAAGATGCCACATTTGCCACCATGCCATCCTAGTGGGCAGCACTGCTCTACGCTGCCCCCTCCTCATTGTTCCAGAGGCCCCTCCCCTTTGCCCAGCCCAGCCCAGCACGGGTTTCAGGTCTGATTTATTGATGGTGAATATACAGGGGTGAGCCCAGGACAAGCAGCCTGGCCACTCTCCACCTGCTGCCTGTCCAGTGGCCTGGAGGGGGTCACCATGTGGCAGTGGTGGGGGGAGCTAGGCTCCCTCACCCCACTATTCTTGCTGCCTTCTGGACTCTCAGACCGGGCGCCTCTTGGCTTCTGTTTCCCCCACCAAAGTTGTACCAGTTCAGGTGTGGAGGCCACGGGCACCAGGTCAAGGTGGCCTTGGGCTGGGCCCCTTTTCCTTCCCCTGGCGGAGGTGCTGTTGGCCTGGGCGGCTGGGCCCCGGCACAGTTCGCCAGCGCAGCATCCAGGTTAARTGGCTGGGACTGGAGTTTCTGTCAGCAGTGTGGACGTACGAGGCAGTCATCTCTGTGGTCCTGGGCAGCTGTGTCGCAGAGCCCCTGGGTTTGGAGGTTCTTGGAATGGGGTGGGGGGACCCCATGGTGTTCCAAGTTGGTGCCCCCGCTGGCAGCAGGCCCCTGAGAGGGGGGCGGGCAGGGCTGGTGCAGAGAGCATGCTCCGTCCTCAGTTGAGTGGAGGCACTGGGGTCCTGGGGAGAGTTGGTGGCCAGTGGTTCCCAGCTGGTGGCTGCTCAGTCTCTCCGGCAGGGGGGCGCCCAGGGTTCCGGGCTGGGGGCTACGCCATGCTGCTGGTGGAGCAGGGGGTGCTCTGGGTGCTCCCGATGCTGTGGTTGGTGCTGCTGCTCTCAGAGGAGGCCGGGGCAGCCACCGCCACCACGGGCTCCCGCTTGCTGGGGGGACCTGGGGGCGGGGCAGGGGCGGAGGTCAGGGCCCCGGCCAGGGCTCCCCACTCCCTCTGAGGCTTTGCCGGGCTGCCCCAGGTGGTGGTGGGGGCCCTGGGTGCTCCCTGCGGGGGCCTGGGATACTCACGCGTRTGCGAGTAGATGTACCAGAGTGCCGCAGTGAGCAGGGCCCCGATGAGGAAGGCGCCAAAGGTGATGCCCAGCACGGTGGACAGGACCAGGCCTTTGCCTGAAGGACCAAAGCAGTGGTCAGCCCAACCCCGCCCTGTTGCGCGGGCCAGGAGCAGGGGTTTGGGTGCTAGTTCTGGCTCTGCCACTGACCCTGACCTCTTCATTCAGCAGATGGGCTGGCCACACCCATGCCCAGCACTAAGCTCTGACCCTCCACCCAGAAGGCCCAGCCAGCCAGGCCTACTGGGCCATGCCTCGGCCTCCGAAGCCTGGCAGAGGCATTACTGGGGAGTAAGGATGGTACAGTCATCTAAGAATGAGAAGGGCCTCGGGCTCCAGAGCCTGTCCAGCCCTACAGAGTGACCTTTCTTCAGCCTCTGCCCCTCTCTGAGCCCTATGCCAGCTAGGAACAGGCCAGAGCACCTCCCAGGGCACTTCAGCTCTGCAGGAGTTGTCCCAAGCCTCAGTCCTTCCACCCTCCTGTCTCCTGTGACCACAGGCCAGGCAGCCTCCCCTCGAGCCTCTGACTTTCCATCTGTGCAGGGGAGCATTTGCCCTGCTTTTTTGGTCCTGGCTGTGGGCTGGGGGACCACCCTTCCTGGATGACAAAGTGCCTGCCACCTCTAGGGGAGCTAGTGAAGAAACTGGAGGGCACTGGACTGAAGAGGTGTCTCCCACACTGGGGGCCTCAAGGAAGCAAGAAGGCCAGTACCCCTCACAGTGCCTCATGTTCCATCCAGCAGGCCCCGCCCCTCAGCAAGGTTAGCCAGTGACCAAGGGGGTGGAGAAGAGGCCTGCAGTGTTCCACAGGGTGGTCACAGCAGAGGCTCCATCAAGATGCAGCCTACAGTGTGCTGTTCCAGCCACTGGGACTCTGGGGACTCTGCCCCTTTCCGGGGCTTCTCACCTGAGATCCTTCAGCTGTCCCCTGATTCCCACTCAGCTAACCAAGCAAACCCCAGAGAGACCCAGGGGAACTCACCAGGCGGGCCAGGGCTGACGATGCTCAGGCGCATGGAGACAGTCTTGTGGACTTCCTGAGGGGGAGGGGAGAGAGGAGTGTGGCGCAGGCTTTGGGAGGCAGTGTCCTTCTCTCCCTGGCTCTGCGCCCCTGGCTGTCACAGCCCAGCCTAAAGCCCTGACTGTGAGTCCTGCCTCTACCACGGTCCAGCTGGGAGCTGGCGGGCGAGCCTGGGGATCTGCTGGGGGATGGCATCAAGCCACAGTCCTGCCAGGGACTTTCCTATGAGTCCCTGCAGCCCCTGACGCCTGTGGGCACCGTGGGGCGCCCATTACCCTTGCACACACCTCAATGAGCCAGGCGATGAGCAGCTCGGAGGCCCAGGCTTGCTGGCCAGAGGGAAAGGCCCACTTAGGGGCAGCCCCAAAGACACCCCCCCCCGCAGCCTCATACAACCAGGGCAGTTTTTGATAGTGAGGAACTTTCCACGTAAAGAGCTGGGGTGACCCTGAAAACGTGTCCAGCACTGAGTGCCTGAGAGCAAAGATTCACTGGACCATGAAGCATTGGCACCAGCAAAGGCAGAAAGTGAGGATTTTGTGTCCTCCTTTCCTAGGGCCCCATCCATTGGGATCACTTTGGTGATCATACCACATGGTGGGTAGATTGCTGGGGGAAGGACAGATGTCTGGGTGGGACAGTGGGATTATTGATGAATGGACCTGCGGACAGAAGGAAAATGGACAGATGGAAGYTGGAGCTGCAGATTCTGCCCAAGACAAAGCAATCCCATCAGAAGGCTGTAGGTGGCAGCAAGTGCCCCCAGAGCCCGGCTGTCAGACCACAAGCATGACTCTGGCTCTGCCCCTCACCAGGTGGTCCCACATCCCCCTGTACGGCCACATCCCTGCCAGAGCTGGAAGCCACTGTTGAAGCCGGCCTGGACCAGGCTCCACTCACCTGGGACCAGGTCCTGGGACGAAGGGCCACAGTGCAACTGAGGGTGCCAGCTGTGGGTGTGGGCACCATGTAGACACGGAGGAGGAAGCTGAAGCGTAGGTCACCCTCAGGGCTGGGGGACAGCATGCTCACACAGCTGCCCTTGGCTGCCCGGCCCTGGATGAGTTCCACCGTGTCTGCCTCAGGCCCCAAGTCTAGGTGGCAGCTGTCAAGCTGAAGCACGACCTCAGGGATCAATGGGGACATGCCCACCTGCATGGAGAGGTGGGGGGAAGGGTGTGGGCAGCTCTTCTTGACCCTTCACCTCTGTTCTTTGGAAATAGCCAGAAGGCAGAGTTCCCACCCCTGAATCCTCACAGTAGGACAGACAGGGTCTGCCTGGAGCAAATAGAAGGGTGACATCCAATCAGTGACTGAGAACAATACCATCCCTCTCTGTCCCTCCCGAGCCCTCAGGCCAGCTCCCTCCACTGGAAGTTTAATTCTGGTCTTTTCTGTAGTAATGTTGGAAAGAATGTTGGAAGTCCTAGGAATCCAGAGGACTTGGGGAGTAACTGGGCCCACCTAATACCTGCACAAAGCCCTGTTGCCCCAGCTCGATGGTGCTGGAGGCCTGGAGGAAGTGTGGGCTGAGGTAGAGGCCCAGCCGGAAGGAGAGGCCATCTGTGTTGATGCACTGCACCTTTTTCTGTGGGAGCACAGGAGGGAGACTTGGTCAGGTGGGTGGCACCACCAGGAAGGAGGGGCGGGCTGGCAGCAGTCCTCTTGTCGCCTCCTTACCAGCTTCTTTCATACTGGGGACTGAACCCAGGGCCACTCTACCACTGAGCCACATCCCCAGCCCTTTTTTATGTTTTATTTTGAGACAGGATCTCCTTAAGTTGTATGATCTGCCCACAGCCACACAGCCAGGGCGTGCTAGGACCCTCCGACCTGAGAGGCTGACGGCAAAACCCACACAGCATCTCCCGTGTACAGAAGGGGAGACTGAGRCACACTGGAAACACCTGGGTTGACAAGATCATGGCCCCAGCCCCCAGCACCAGACCCTCCCTGGACCAGGTGGCAGCATAGTGACCATCCATCTTACCCGAAGTGGTGATAAGCCAGATAGGAAATTGACCACCACCTGCAGAGACAGAGCAAGGAGCTATTTAGAACCGGAAAGGACCCAGAGGGTCTCCCACCGGACACACCCTCTTATGGATGTGGCCAAACCGCACCTGTGCCACCGAGTGCCAGACCTTGCTCCCCCAAACACCCCTCAGCCTGGAGCACTGGGGGACAGTTGCAGGGACACCTTTCTGGCCCAGCCCTACCTCATTGCTGATCACGTGTGTGGTCACCTCCATGCCACAGCTGGAGTAGGTGCTGCGCAAGACGAGCTGATCAGCGCTGTCCTCAGCCTTGCAGCTGGGGTCCCAGAAGGTCAGGCCTGTGATGGTGCACCTGAGAGCCTGGGCCAGGGAGGGTGGCACTGTTAGGAGGCCCAGGCTCCCTGGGGCCGGACCCTTACTGCCAGCACCAAGGACTGCTCATGGCTCAGCAGTCCCAATCCCCAGCCCCTCTGCTCCTCTCCCTTTTGTGCGACCTCATCATCCTGAACCATTTAAGACAAAACTTTTCTTGAACTTCTTTCTTTTTGGACTCCACCTTGTACTAAGCAATAATATCTGTGACTTCAAGAGTCTGATTTCCTTCATTAATATTTTTATTTTATTTTTTTTTAAAGAGAGAGTGAGGAGAGAGAGAGAGAGAGAGAGGAGAATTTTTAATATTTATTTTTTAGTTCTC